ATGATGGTTACAATCAGTAGTTATCTTTACTTTTTTTTTGCAAAGTTAGAAGAAACATTTAATCAAACCAACAAACACTTAATGAAAACTTTTGCGGTCAATGTTTGCTATAGAAAACTTTTGCGGTCAATCGGTCAACAAACACTTAATGAAAACTTTTGCGGTCAATGTTTGCTATAGGAAACATGCAGATGTGGCACTAAGGTGTATGTATGCAATCTCTTGCCCGAGTCCAAGCTCATTGCTCCTTCAGATGGACAAGAGAACCATCTGAGCTAAAGGATGATGGATGATCCATGCTAAGCAATCTGAGGAGGTAACGATACTATATATCAGATAAGGACATGAAGTTTTGAGATAAAACTGGGACTTGCTAAATTTAGAAACTTTGCATGATGTCTTGTGTAGATGGGTTGGTGTGACGACAGCAACCCAAAAAGTGTAAATGAAGTGAGAACAAAATGAGGCAAGAAGGAGCAATCGAGAAGAGAGAGCTATAGTATATGCACTCACACACCAGGTATAATAATGGGTCCAAAAGTTTTAAAAATTAACTCTCTCTCCCTCTCTCTACATTTGTGTTTACTGAGTTTGTCTATATTTTGATAGCCGAGGAGGACATGTCCAAGTCCAAATGCTAAGGCAACCAAACAAGGACTCCTCAGATGCTGCAAGGTTACTACTTGTCTATCTTTTATTATGCTTTTGTGTATTGCTGTTTGAGTGAGATTGAATTTTGAGAGGCTCTTCTAATACTAGACATGTGAGTCTCTTTTGTCAAGCTTAAATTCCATATCTCACTGCATGACTAAAAACGCTTTACACTTTTCTCTGATCATTGATTAATCTTAGATTCTCAATCCAAAACCAACAACTCTACTCCACAAGACAAGACAAGGTCTCGTTAACACTGGTTTCAACGTATGACCTTCAGTCACTAAGCAAACTCAGAAGGAGAACAATAAAGTGAGTTCTGAGACTTCATGGATTCTTATTATATATTTTGGACAGATCCTGTTTGTTAACTTTTGTGTTCACTTTTTAAGGTTTATGTCCGTGAGCAATCTAAACCTTTCATTTCAACTGCTGAGTTGATGCAGAAGTTCCAAACAAGCACACGAGACTTGTCACTGACTCAGACCAACACACTTGTCTTCCTCAGGTAAATAAGCAAAGAAAGAGACTCTTGATAGTTTCTTTCATTGATTCCTTTTAATTAACTTCCAGATGGTGTCTTTGTGCAGAACCGAACTAAGTTGACACTGACAAAACCTAAAAAGCCAGAGTTTGTGAAATTCCCAACGAGCTCGTCCTTTAAAAGTGAAGAGCAGTGCAGAGCTTGAGGAAGAGATGTTGGCTAAGATTCCCAAGTTTAAAGCTCGTCCTGTGAACAAAAAGAAGGTAAATAGCATTTGGTGGTATGTATCGATACCTCTGAAAGCGAAATCTACAACAGAAAAACAAATAATACATTCTCTTGTTTGATGCAGATTTTTGCAGCTCCAGCTTTGCCTGCACCACAAAGAAGCACAACACATCTACCAGAGTTTCAGGTAGAGACTATCATCATTTTAGAAGTGAATCTGTTATTTGATCGACCAGAGGCTTAGTCATAGCTAGCAATAAAGTTTTAAAATTGACTCTCTCTCTCTCTCAAAGACATTTATTTGTGTTTGTCTATATTTTGATAGCCGAGGAGGACATGTCCAAGTCCAAACGCTAAGGCAACAACCAAACAAGGGAGTGTGTGGCGCCTCCTCTCAGGAAAACAATCAACAAGGTATGTTGGTCCAATTAAATTACATTATTATTAGCATTTACAAACTTTATTTCTGTAATCAACCTGGAAAACATATAATAGTCTTATATTCTATGAATTAGATTTCTGGGAACCTAAAATGGGCGGTTTTAGCAGACTTTTTTTGTTGTGTCAATTTTGGTCCAGGATGTGGTGAAAGGCAAGCCCCTGCAATACACAATAGAAGGAAGAACCAAGGTTGTTATTAACCAATAAAGAACCCAGCAGGATTACCAAGCAGAGAACCCGGAAACAACAGCCAGCAACATCTACTCAAAGAACATCACAGACTTTTTTTTGGAAGGTAAAGCATCTGGTTTCTCTACTACTTCAGTACTAGATTGTTGTCATGGCTTGTTAAAAAATGCTTTAGACAAAGAGATGTAGTAGAATAATGAAGCAAAATGAATTAGGACAGTCTTTGGTTTGATTACACAGAGATATAGAATAAAAATGCACACAACATTTTCAACTCAAGCTAATGTTCTTTAAGTTATCTTGAAAAAATTGCCATAGATCATTGAGTATAAAATAACAAAGTTTCCTTCTTGATCTTTTGCAGACATAAGTATATTTGCTAAAGCTGCTTCTCCAATGGTTTGTTTTAGTACNTTTTCAACTCAAGCTAATGTTCTTTAAGTTATCTTGAAAAAATTGCCATAGATCATTGAGTATAAAATAACAAAGTTTCCTTCTTGATCTTTTGCAGACATAAGTATATTTGCTAAAGCTGCTTCTCCAATGGTTTGTTTTAGTACTCTCGACGGCTACAAGATTTAAAAAGGTCAGTTCTCCATTTCTTTTTTATATTCATCACAATTAAGACTTAAGCTTTTTAATAAATAAACAATGTATATAGTAATAAGTATAATTTTACCAAACCAAATTACATATTCTACTTTATTGTCGAATTAATCAAGCACTCTTGGATGTTTTCTTTTTTTTTTTTTGCTTTGTAGGTAGCTGAGCTTCACGGGAAGCGCGCAGTAAACGAACTTCTCGCCCCACCGTATTTGAGTCCAGGTTTTTCAGCCGTGTAAGGTATGTAAATCCTCTTTCTTCTCTGTTTTTTTTTTTTTTTTTTTGGGGAAATTCTATATATTATCGGACTGATAGACACTATATTTTCATAATTTGTAAAACAAATAGAATGCAGCGTCCAGTCCTTGATTTGTCCCGTTAAGTTTCATTTGTCTTTACACATTTGTTATTTGGTCACTCAAAACCAGTAACCGATTGTCTAGATAAGCGGTACTGTGATTGTCTAGATAAGCGGTACCGGATTGTCTAGATAAGCGGGATTGGTAGACACTAAATTTATAGTGTGTAAAACAAATAGAAATGCAGCGGGCAGTCAATATGATCGTTAAGTTTCATTGTTTGTCTTCACACATTTGTCATATTTGGTCACTCAAAACCAGTAACAAATTCTAGTTTTTTGGATTGGTAGACACTAAATTCAGAATGTGTGAAACAAATAGAAATGCAGTCATTTGCCTTTATACACTTTGTGATCAAATAGTCACTCAAAATCAGTTTGGTAATTAAGAGTTTCCCCATTCGTATTTTTGTATGCGTGTTTCTTGTTTTGTTTTTTTTTTCGTGTATGTCAGGTTATGCTGCTGCGATATGGAACTTGACGGTGAAGGCTTATCTGCTGGATATGGGGTTTTTTAAACAAGTTGCTGTCGAGAGACCTGTCTTTCTCAATTTTACAAGAGAACAAGGTAAAACAACAACAACGATAATAATAATAGCAATGATATTTTTTGTAAGTTGGGTTTTGGTCTTTACGGGTTTATTATTGTTGCAAGTGTTGCAGTCAGTTTCCATGGAGATCCATATACATACAAAAACAACAACACGTTACGGCCGTTGCTGCCCAAATACAGAGTAGCAGAACATTTTCACCATCAGCCACGGTTACACGGCTTGAACCAGAAGACGAGTTCATCGTGGGTTCCCACGCCAAGTAAGCTCCACCACGCCTAAGTCACCTCTCTCTGTTGTACAACAATTAGTTGTTAATACCTTTGCCAATCTTCCAGGGAATAATAAGAGCAAGGAGACGACTAGTCAAAGCTGCATGGAACGAAGCAGCTAAGAAAAGNCCCACGCCAAGTAAGCTCCACCACGCCTAAGTCACCTCTCTCTGTTGTACAACAATTAGTTGTTAATACCTTTGCCAATCTTCCAGGGAATAATAAGAGCAAGGAGACGACTAGTCAAAGCTGCATGGAACGAAGCAGCTAAGAAAAGAGAGATGAGATACGCTGACCTGAAAAAGATCACTTTTTTCAGAACTTGTTTAATGATCGAACATAACACAATCAACTTTTTTGGTGATCCTTACGAAGGCTTTGGTAATTACCGACGCCGTGCGTTTAGGAGCACCTTTATCGTCTCTAAAGTTTTATATGTTTGTAAATATCGATAGGCACAATCTTAATTACTTATATATCAATCATTAGAGCGGTTCTTTTTGCACACATTGCTCTTAAAAACTAGATTAGTTCAATATCAATTAAAAAAAAAAAGACTCATCATATAATAATCACTATACATAATATAGTTTATGCCAAGACAGATGCTACTATGGGGATATGATAATATCTAACATGATATAACATCCTTATCTGAGACTGTTTTCATAATTTAAAAGAAGAAAGACGCCACTGATCTATATAGCTCATTCCATTTGGTTTAAGGAATATTCACCTTACGTCTTCTTCTTCCCCCACATGATTGTTAAGACCATCACCTAAATTTCGCATTTCTGAGAAAACTCAACTCAGAAATGTTTTCTTCAGGTGGCTTCTTCTTCAACCCCTTCGTTCCCTACAGCTTCATTGTTTTCCCACAAAAACCCATTTTCACTTTTGGAACCTCTCTCTATTTCCCCATAGAAATATTTAGTTTTTTCGGTAAATGTTCTATATACTGAGACTTGTACTCTTTAGTGATGTTTAAAAATCTCAAACCCTATTTTATTACTTGTATTAATCTATGCTAAACACTCATTCATGATAAATGGACATCCTTTTATCTGATCTTTTCTCGAGGGTTGTGGTTTGATTTTTTTATCAACCATCTATTATTCTCTTTTAACTTTTTGAGATATTGTTAGGCCGACAAGATCGCTACTTTGGTCAAATCTGCTGGTGTTAGTTGTGAGTCATACTGGCCAATGCTATTTGCCAAGATGGCCGATAAACGTAACGTTACTGATCTCATCATGAACGTTGGTGCTGGTGGCGGCGGAGGTTGTGCACCTCTTGCAGCCCCTGCCTCTGCTGGTTCTGCGGCTGCTGCACCTGCCGCCGACGAGAAGAAGAAGGTACAAGAAGAAACAATTAGTTTGACCCTTCTTTTTGTTATTGTCTTTGTATTGTAACTAAGCCTTCTTTTGGTTTTTTTGATGTGATTTTGCTGGAATATATATTTTGGTGGTTGCAGGAAGAAGTGGCGGAAGAGAGTGATGGAGATTTGGGTTTCGGCTTGTTTGACTAAGCAGCTAGCTATTACTTACTCTGCTCTAAAGAACTTTTAGTTGTCTTTTTTGGAGACGAAATCTTTTGTATAACGAGAGCAAAACCCATCGACTCTGGTTTCTGGGACATTTTTGTCATTCTTTCACCCGAATCAACAAAAAAACAATAGAGGTTCTTATAGGTGAGAGTGAGGGCCACTAACAATTATTACCTCTACTACTAATTGCTCCAGTAGTTTGAAGACTTGAAGGGTAATCTGTGAGAGTTTGATTCCAGACTAATCTCTATTTCTTTATTTTTTTAATTTCCTATCAAAATTATTAACCTTCTGTGTGCCTCTGTAGAATGGGCTCCAAAGAGAATTCATAAAGCCGAAATATAATAGGTATAGACATATAGTTTAAGGCCTAAATAAAAGTTCTATTACAAGCCTATTTCAATCGGCCTTTATAGAAAAGTCTTTGCTAAAACTGCCACGTAAGTTATATGGACGCTTTTACCGACAAACTAACTAAGGAGGACTTTGTGGCTCAAGGAGAAGCCAAGTTGGGAGTAGGAAAAGTGCAGTGAGAAGCCACTACCATCTCACCACGTGTCGTTCTCCGGTGATTTCTACTTTTCCACTTATACCCTTTGTTCTGTTTCAGCCTCAAATAACAAAAAAAAACACATTAGAAAATTTGGGGAAAATTGTTGTGGCTGAGATTTGCTTATGCCTTTCTTCTTCTTCTGTAGCCTTAAACAGTCTTCCTTCTTCTCCATATCCATCTCTGTTGAGAAAACAGTGTGTGTGTTTTATTCTCAGAGAAGGATGACATGTCCGGCGAGTTGCCGTGAGATGATCTAGTTTTTTCTATTTTTGGATTGCATACTTTGTTCCTTCATAATAGGTAAGGGTACGACGTGTAATTTTTACACAATCAGCAATCAATTTCTAGGGGGGGGTGGGGGGTTCCTCTTGCAATCTTAGAATCTCTATTTTGTTGCTGAAGAAGAAATTTAGTAAATATATATTAGCTTGTTGTTGGTAATGGTAGTATAGTAGGCATTATCATACAAATCTTCAGATTGATTTGGAAGCAATTATTACTGATCCTGAGGGTTTTTTTTATGATGTTATAAAGGTTTTGGCTGCAATGGATTCCCTCGTTTGGGTGAGGCTTTTTTAAGAAAGAAAGAGAGAAAAAAAAGGGAATTCTTTTGAGTTCTGCTGGAGAAGCTACCAACTCTGTGCACTTTTCAAAAGATTTCTCCTTTGATTTCTAATTCTATGTCTCTGTTATTTACTAGTATTATGGATGTGAAATATTTATCATAGTTTCTTTCTCTTTTGCAGGTACTTTAAGAGGTCATTTTTACTTAGAAGTCACAAACAGCTTTGCAACTTTGATGTTTGGGGGGATCAAAGATGGTTTCTTTTGTCATATTAGAGAGGATTTAAAAGCAGCTACAAGGATCCGGTTATGGATACAAATACTTCTGGTGATGAATTATTAACTAAGGTAATCACATGAAAAGATTGAAAAAGTTTGGATTCTTCTTTGTTGTGTGAGTGAAGATTTGGTTTTGAATGAACAGGCAAGAAAGCCATATACTATTACAAAGCAGCGGGAAAGATGGACAGAGGACGAGCATGATAGGTTTCTTGAAGCCTTGAGGCTTTATGGAAGAGCTTGGCAACGCATACAAGGTCCCCCAATTCATTATTGATTAGCTTCTGTTTGTACCCTTAAATTAACTTCACTCTTTTCTTTTTTTTTTTGTGTACAGAACATATTGGGACAAAGACTGCTGTTCAGATCAGAAGCCATGCACAAAAGTTCTTCACAAAGGCAAGCTGATTCTTTCTTACAAACATTATTTTTTTCATTACTAAAGGTACAAATAGGTTGTTATTTGTTGCGTTAATATAGCTTTCTCCATATGAATTTAAGACATATTTTCCTATCACCGTCAGTGTTCCTTTCGAAAAAGATGGTTGAAGGTTCTTCTTCTTATGGTCTTGCTAAGTAGAGTTGATAGGTTCCAAGGGTAGCAGCCATTGTTTGTGGAAATTTTGGTCTTAATATATTGTCATTTGCTTTGTAACGAATTGAGATCATGAAACCTCCAGCTGGAAAACTTATTGTTAGATCATAGAGAGATTCATTGTTTGAGACATGTCTATTAGTAACATAACTAGCATTGCATCTGCATGACAAAAAAATGACTCGATGAAATAATGAGATTGCATATATGAACTCTTTTATAGCCAAAACCAAAACCTCCTTGGCCCTAATAGGGCAGGACATGAAGTAACTGTCTCCTCTACCCAACCCAAACACTTCGGGTCAGTATAAGACTCTTTTTTTAAACCTCAAAAAAAGAGTCTCAGGGTTGCAGCACCTATCTCTCCGATTTAGAAAATAAATAAATAAATGAAAACTAACAGTTGTGGTTGAAGCTCTTCAGTTGGAGAAAGAGACAGAAGCTAAAGGCATTCAAGCTGTGGACATGGAAATTCCACCTCCTCGTCCTAAAAGAAAACCCAATGCTCCTTATCCTCGGAAACCTGGCCCATCAGCAAAACTTGTATCTTCTTCACATTGTAACCAGGGGTTCTTGGATGTGCCAAGTTCTCAGGTTTATTCCTAATTTTTTTTGCTCTTCATTCTATCATTTTTTTTTCATTCCTTGTGATAGTAGATTTGTTATGCTTTTATTTTAATGTTAGAAAACATCAACTGGGAAAGAAAATCAAGATGAGAACTGTTCAGGGGTGACCAAGTATCCCTTACCAGATAATGTAACTCCAACGCTAAAAAAGGTATAAGACTGCAGTATTTTGAAGTTCAGTAGCATGAAAACTTGAAAAGAAACAAAACTCGTTTCATTCTTTTTTTTTTGAGCAGGCAAATGCCGATAATGAAACAAGCAAGGCCTCAAATGTGGACAACAACATGGTTCAAGAGAAGAACAAGGACAGAGATGATGATGATGATGGTGATGATGGTATGCACAGCGCAAGGGAGCATTTTCCGGTGGACTTTGTAAACGGAAATGTGGCAAAATACCCTCAGTTCCATCCCCCAGGTATGGTATCTCCAGACTTAATGTTTTGTCCTATGGGAGACCTAGTTCATGTGAATCATCCAGTTACAAGAGCATCATCATCATCTGCTACTACTAGTACAACTTCTCAACAAGCCTTTCCAGCATGCCCTTCCCAAGATGATTACCGTTCGTTTCTCCACATGTCTTCTACTTTCTCCAATCTTATCATGTCAACTCTCCTACAGAACCCTGCAGCTCATGCTGCAGCCACACTCGCTGCTTCGGTCTGGCCCTATACTAATAATGTCGGAGGTTCAGCAACGCAAATGAGCTCTTCTCCTCCAAGTATAGCAGCCATTGTTGCTGCTACCGTAGCTGCTGCAACTGCTTGGTGGGCTTCTCATGGACTTGTTCCTCCTACTCCACTCCACTTACCAGTTCCAACTCCAAATGATCAACTAATTGAGAAACAAAGCACATGCTTTCAAGATCAAAACATGGCTTCATCATCCGACGATTCAGAGGAGACTGGAATTACCAAGCTAAAGGCTGACGGTGAGAAGGAAGAAGCTGTTGCTGTTGTGCAAGATTCTCAGAAGAAAAATCCAGTGGACCGCTCATCGTGTGGGTCAAACACACCTTCGGGGAGTGACGCGGAAACAGACGCATTGGAGAAAGAAAAAGAGGCAGGTGTTACTACTGAGTTAAGCAATCGTCGGAGTAAAATCAACTACAACAACAACCAAACTACTGATTCATGGAAGGAAGTCTCTCAAGGGGTAAAATTAAACACAAACAATGTTATTTCGTATGCATTTGCAAAGTTTTTCTCTGGAAACTTATAAGTTGAAATTTTTTTTGGTCTCAGGGTCGTATAGCGTTCCAGGCTCTCTTTGCAAGTGAGAGACTGCCACAAAGCTTTTCACCTCCTCAAGTGGCAGAGAATGTGAATGGAAAACAAAGCAATACGACGTCAATAATAATGCCATTGGCTCCTCTTCCTCCTCCTAACTTGAACAAGATTCAAGATTCTTGTAATGCAGACCAAGAGAGTGCAGTGGATGAACCACCGGGCAGCAAGAGTCTTAAGCTGAGAGAAATAGGGTTTAAGCCATACAAGAGATGTTCAATGGAAGCAGCCAAAGAGAGCCAAGTTGGAAACGCAAACAATCATCAAAGTGATGAAAAGGTCTGCTGCAAGAGGCTTCGTCTGGAAGGAGAAGCTTCAACATAACCAGCAAACTTTTGAGGTAATTAATTTGCTTCTTCAATCTTTTTTATTTTAAGATCCATCTCAACATTTCTTCGGTCATGTCAATTCATATTATTACTCCGTCTCCATCTCTTGTCCCTTGCATGTGCCACTTGTGGTCTCTGGTGTTATTGTTAATTAACCATTAAGCAATGGATTTATGTCTTCTTTTGAATTCTGAATATTGTTGAAATCTTAAACAAAGTTTAGAATGATAAAGACTTTGTGTGTTGCCTTTGTTGTTTCAACTTTTCATGGCTATTTTTTTTAAAATGTTTTAAACTCGACTTGAAGGTGCCCAAACGTATACGGATGATATCTTGGCTGCCACGTACATGCACAACATTTTTATATTACAAGCTCGCTCCAGTTCAGGGCCAGGGGGTGGGGGATAAGACCCATTTGTGAAGCTGATTTCTTTTTTTTTTTGCTTTAGTTAAACTTGTAGCTGATTGTACGTACACTGGTTGAAATGCGATATATGTTGTTATATCAACAAGAAAAGAAAGTCAACACGACACTAGTAGCATTACTACTAAAAGCAGTGGACTTTGTGATTAATTATGGTGGTCGTTTCCATTAACTAATTTAAGTTGAGAATGTAAAGTTGAAGAAGAGGTGTCTGTATTATGTACAATAACGGTCTATGCATGTGAGCTAGAAATTAGAAAAACGTAGAGATGATCCATAAGTTGAGATGAACAAAAAAAACTGAATAAAGTAGGCCCGTGAATAGGCCCATCTAGGTTTAGAGCTCCCCCAGATCCTATAGCTTGAATTTGGTTAATGAACAGCCGAAATAATAATGGTTGGTGGAATCTATATAATAATGATTCACTTTTGAAGCTCCTAAGGCTATCCACGTCAGCAGTCGAGTGGGTCCCATGTATTTAAATTTTAAAAGTTTATAGTGTTTTTAAAATAACTTTGAACAATGAATACACTTTAGCAAAGTGGTATAAGACACCTAATTAAATCTACAAGTGTGTGGGTTCAAACCACGCAGCTGTTATGTATTTTAGTTTTTTCGTTTGGATTATTATAATATGGGCTTTTTAATTTTAATGTTTTAATGTTTTTTTTCCTCTGGACTTATTGTTTAAAGCCAAAAATAGTGGAAAAATCCTAAAGTTTGACGAATTCAAACCCAAAAACAATTAAAAATGGATCAAAAAACGAACATCCAAAAATAAGAAAAAAAAAACAAGTCTCACGCGGCACTCTCATGTCCTAATATATATTTTTACTGTTAGAACATATTTCCTAATATATATTTTCAAAAAATTATGTATGTGAAATAAAATAAAATAAAATAGTTTTGTTATTTATAAAATAACTATGTAAATTCTCTTCAATTTTTAATAGTTACTATAATTTCATTTTTATCAGACTCTGACGGATGAATTTCCACAGTCGATGACGCCGTAAAGAAAAATACCACATTATTCATGAACAAAATCCAAACTTACAAAAAAACATATCCAAACCTATCTATTGAAACCCAAACAACAAATATTAGCTTAAATTAAAGTTATTTTCAAATTGATAAATCATTTAGTACAAATATAAATACTATAAATAAATATTTATATCAAGTTTTGACATCCGGTATAAAAATTATTTCCAACATAAAAAAAAAACAATATAGACATCTATTTTTATACACTAAAAACTATATTATAATTTAGTTATTCCTATAACTTATTTCGCATATAAATAACATTTAACACATTATATATACAATATTTTCACTTTGCACTCTTGCTACATTCTTTCCATTTCATCATTATTTGGTATTATTAGAATAACCCACTAAACCAACAACCGAAAAAAACACAGATTCCGGCCCCGCGCTTGCGCGGGGGTTATGCAGCTAGTATAATTAACGGCCAAGATCATGGATGGATAAAAATAAAGTAAAATGATGTGTCATTTTATAGCTAATAAAAGTGGAAAAGAAGTCATCTTTGAATACCTTTTGGGGTGATCCATCCAAAAGAAAGAAAGAGTCTTATCGGCAAATCATTGTTTGATTCATTGATTAAGCAGAGGAGATAGATGGGTGATAATCATCATAGCATCAGAGTCTACTTAGCCTCTGCAATCTTGCTTTTAGGGGTTATTAATAGCTCACCATCCCAGGTAGAATTACACCCACCTACCCTTCTTCTTAATCATGTTTGTTCAAGTTGCTTTTATAAAGATTCTGACTTTCTTTTTTTATGGCTTGTGGGATTAATCCTTAATGGCTATTGAGTTTGATTTACCGTTCGTTTTGAGTGTTTAAAAAAAAAAGAAGATTCAAAGTTTGGGGATTTCTGTTGATTCCTGATCAAATAAAGATTCATGGATCGGTTTGACTCTTTTTTTGTGTGTGTGTGTGTGTGTCTTTTATTAAATCAATCAGAAGGAGGGAATTGCAGCAGAAAATCTTTCTAATCAGAAGCTCACTTCACGAATTCTTCAGGTTTCAATGCTTCTTTATCCTAAACGCTCTCCTTTTTGCACTTAAAGATTTATTTGATCGTTGATCTACTTTCTTTTTTTGTTTTGCAGCATGAGATTGTGAAGCAAGTCAATGAGAATCCAAACGCTGGATGGACTGCTGCTTTCAATCATCGCTTTGCTAACTCCACCGTCTGTTTTTTTTTTACACCTTTCTCTTGATATATATATATACATATATATACATACTACTTACTACTGCTTAAACTCCAGGTTGCCGAATTTAAACGCCTCCTCGGTGTTAAACCAACACCTAAGCACGAATTCGTAGGTGTACCTCTTGTCACCCATGACATCTCTCTCAAGCTTCCTAATGAATTTGACGCCAGAACCGCTTGGTCTCACTGCTCCAGTATTGGAAGGATCCTAGGTCCATTTCTCATCTCTCTCGCTTTATTCATTCTTCATCATATACTGACTCAATCTTCTTTTCTTTTTTAATCACATTCTATTCTTTCCTCCATTATAGATCAGGTATAAACTTCATTATCATCGACATTATATTATTGACTCAATGCGTTTTGAGATGCATAAAAACATTTGTTTGAGGGGGTTTTGGTTTTGGTTTTGGTTTTGGGTTTAGGGTCACTGCGGTTCTTGCTGGGCATTTGGGGCGGTAGAGTCATTGTCTGACAGATTCTGCATCAAATATAACATGGTAACACCTATACTTCCATCTACCCAAGCCAAGCCAAAAAACAAACTGATCATCTTTCCCTTCAAAAGATTCTTGTGTTCGTTCCCATTGCAGAATATTTCTTTATCAGTCAATGATCTCTTAGCATGTTGTGGATTCCTTTGCGGTCAAGGCTGTAATGGTGGCTACCCTATTTCCGCCTGGCGCTACTTTAAGCACCACGGTGTAGTCACCGAAGAGGCAAGTAAATTCTCTCTGTTTTTTATCTGCAAAGAAGAAGAACATGTAATGTAATAATGGTTAATAAATGTTGTTGGTTACCTCAGTGTGATCCATACTTTGACAATACTGGATGCTCTCACCCGGGATGTGAACCCGCATACCCTACACCAAAATGTGTGAGGAAATGTGTTAATGGAAACCAGCTTTGGCGTGAATCAAAACACTTTGGTGTTAGCGCCTACAAAGTCAGACATGACCCTCAAGACATTATGGCTGAAGTTTACAAAAACGGACCTGTTGAGGTTGCTTTTACCGTTTACGAGGTTAGTTCTAGGTTTTTAAGATTTGATCGATCAAACATATATGATTGTTTACTACATGAATCTCTCTTTTTTTTTGGCTACCACAGGACTTTGCGCATTACAAATCTGGAGTCTACAAACACATAACAGGTGCTAACATAGGAGGCCATGCTGTCAAGCTTATTGGCTGGGGAACTTCTGCGGATGGCGAAGATTATTGGGTATGAATCCACTTTTTAAACACACCCTACTATGAGTTTCGAGTTTTCTATTGGCTGGAGAGTTGATGACATTCTTTGATGTTCTTTTGAATTGTTACCAGTTGCTTGCAAATCAATGGAACCGAAGCTGGGGTGATGTAAGTACCTTCTTCTCTCCAATCAAACTTTTGTGATCTTTTCAAGTTCCCTACATTCAAGAATCCAGAGTGGAACACACCAAATCTGACGTTTAAAGTGTGTAAATTATTTCAGGATGGTTACTTCAAGATCAAGAGAGGGACGAACGAATGTGGAATTGAACACGGTGTTGTAGCCGGTTTGCCTTCAGACAAGAACGTCTTTAAAGGTATAAATACTTCAGATGATGATGTTCTAGTTTCCTCGTTTTAAACGAAAGAAAACAACACAAGATGTGTCTCTACTCTCTGTAATGTGTAATTTGCCACAGTGTTTGTTGTTTCCAGTGAAATTATGAAAAGAGTAAATAAAATCTCGCAGAAGTATGTATCCACAACAAGTATGCAGTTTAGCTTGTGTTCATGTTCAGTCTCTACTGCTTTGATTCTGCTTTATGTGTGACTATAATGGTGGATTGATACTTGAGGTTTCTCAGTTTACTAATTGATTAGGAACTTGTTGCACAAAAAAACTCGTAAACCATCACCTAAAAGACCAGTTCTTTTGGTCGTAATCACTCATTAATTAGACTTTCTCTTGAAAAACTTGTTCCGTTCCTCTAAAGCTTCTGAAACAGGAAAGTTTGAAGTTCTCCCAAACTCTGTTATCAGTAGTAAAGGCTTCTTGATGATACTGTTACAGTCTTCGTTTGTGTACTCCCATCTCTCCTTTTCTTCTTTTTCTATTGTTAAAAAAGACTTAAATTTTTTTGTAGAACGGTAACTTTTGTCATAAGCATATTTACAAAAAGCTGAAATTTAAGACAATAACATTTTATTTCCATCTTGTACAATAATTTTGTTATAATCTCTGCGAAATCAAATATAGTCTTTCGTAATCTTGTGACTCTATGTGTTGCTTACTCGTCTGAAGTTACCAACTTGACTTGAGATAGAGATTGTCAAAGCAAAAAAAAAAAAATCAGAAATACGAATTCTAATCTTCAATCTGCAACGGGAAGTTAATCTTAAACTTAAAAATTTCCCATTCTATATGAAGTATCTTTCTGTTAAATTATTTCATTATTTTATATTGTTAGACTTTAATATAAGTTATACATGGTTGGGGCCGGGTTCATGTGCGACTTTGATCAAATGGAACATAAGAACGAGGACGTACCACTACATATGCCATCATATTAGGGAGCCACTATATTATGAGTAACTGCATGCATGACAGATAATGTCGTTACGTACACAAGAAAATACACTCATCTCTATTAGATTTTATTTTACGATATCAATATCTCTTCAAAAAGTTGGAAGCTAAAATATATATTATCTACCATAATCAAACCTGAGAATCATATTAAGCACATATATAATGATATTTCAGTTTATAAATGTTTGAAATCTACGAGTAAAATCATCAACGTTTTGGTTCAACAAATCAATTGGATTGTTTTCATTGATGAATTTTACTATCATTGTTTTGTTTTCTTGGTGCATACGTTGAGAAGTACTAACGTTGTACATGTGCCATTTGCCATGTTGACAAATGAGACTTTGATGTAGAATGTACGATTATAGGAGACTTTGTTTTAATCTATTTCTTTGTTTTTGGTTTTGATAGAAGACAATCATATAAGACAGATAAGATATAACGATAACGATTTTAAAATAGCAGCTTAACTTCTTGTTTACATAATTAACTGTCGTCTTCTAACGTACCACGAAATTTAATTACGAGTGAAAATAAGAAGGAGAAAAACTTATCAATCTTTTTAAGACATTTTTCTCCGCAAGTCAAGAAAATTTGTCATGCATGTGGTTAATTAGTTGTAATTTTAGTTCCGTATGTAGCTAGTTAGGAACGAGCTCTATGCAATTCCTCCACTATAAATAATCGCATTGTTCGTCTATGTATGTATATTCATCAAAACACCAATTCCTCTTCGATCACAAGACTTAAAAAAAAAAGAAGTTAAAGCAGCGAAAATGAGGATGATCTTTTGTCTCCTTGTCAGCTTACTCATCATGATGTTATGTGCGAATATGATCACCTCAGTCTCTGCAGGTTGGATGCATGCTCATGCAACCTTTTATGGTGGAAGTGATGCTTCTGGTACAATGGGTAAGTTATATATTCTCCTGTTTTAGGGTTTATTTCTTCTTCCCCAAGAAACTCCGCATCAAAGCTCTAATTAATTAGTTCTATATTTACTGCAATTTTAGTAACTAGACACACCCACTATAATTTTCTATAATCCGGTCAGGTGGAGCATGTGGGTATGGCGACCTCTACACGGATGGTTACAAAACAAACACGGCGGCGCTAAGCACAGCACTGTTCAGCGACGGAAAATCATGCGGCGGTTGTTACCAAATGGTGTGCGATGCGACCAAAGTGCCACAGTGGTGTCTTAAAGGGAAATGGATAACAATCACAGCTACTAACTTCTGTCCTCCCAACTACGCTTTACCAAACGATGATGGAGGTTGGTGTAATCCTCCAAGACCTCACTTCGATATGGCTCAGCCTGCTTTTGAGACCATCGCCATTTACAGAGCTGGAATCGTCCCTGTTCTCTATAGAAAGTAACCAAAATTTAACTCTCCCCTCTTTTCAATCCTTTCCATAATAAAATACAATAAATTAAAGATTTTCTTGGTTATAAAACTGTAGGGTCGGATGTAGAAGAAGCGGAGGTATGAGATTCACGATGAACGGTAGAGATTACTTCGAGCTTGTCCTCATCTCAAACGTAGGAGGTGCAGGTGATCTGTCCCAAGTATGGATCAAAGGCTCTAAAAGTAACAAATGGGAAACAATGTCAAGAAACTGGGGAGCTAATTGGCAAAGCCTTACTTACCTTAACGGACAAAGTCTCTCTTTCAAAATCCAAGCTAGTAACGGTAAGATCAAGACCGCACTTGACGTTGTTCCTTCATACTGGCAGTTTGGTCAGAGCTTCAAGAGCAACATTAACTTCTGATAGCTACTGTAAATGAAAATTTGATTACCTAAAATGAAATGTTACATAATTTGAATCCGGATTATCCGGAGAAAGTGTTCAAGCTCTTCATTCATAATACCAAATAATGTCAAACTGTTATCAATTGTCTCTCTCTATTTAGCTCCCATCACACGATTACGCTCCCTCTTGCGATATCGTTCCAACATGATCTGATCAGTTGCAGCTTGTCTGTTTTTTCCTGAATCAGTAGCATTTTTATCATTATTACTAGTAGCCGGTTTAAGTCCTTGGCCATCAGCTTGAGGTCCCCTATCTTTGTATAGCTCGGGATGTTCTGCGTGTTTGAAAAGTTTATCAATACATACAGGAAAGGAATCCACACATATAGGGCTAACCAATAGAAAAAGAAGGATCCACAAAGCAAAAAAAAACCTTTGCCGCGTTGGAAATAATTGGCACTATAATTAGAGGAAAGATTCTTAGTGGAATTTCAGAAATTATTTCTTAACTTTTAACTAAAAAAACTAAGAATCGGTTCTTAAATCCTTATTTATAAATGATTTCTTAGTTTTTTTAGTTCAAAATTAAAAAAAAAAAAAAAATTTTAACTTCCACTAAAAACTGGGTTAATCATGTTCTTAGTGCATACTGCAGGTTTTTCTTCTTTCATGGATCAAGTTCTTAATTTATGTATTATTGTAATGTGCTTATATTATAGTATTACGTAATGCAGAAGATAATCATATTAACTAATGTAGGTTTTATCTACTCATCATGATGGCCACACCAAAACATTTTTAATACAATAGAGTTAGGTTTGGTAGCTTATATGTATGTTTCGTTCATGGGATAATGTCGCCTAATGTGTCAGATGCCATGTTCCATTGATCTAACCTGTCAACTTTTCTCCCATCCTTCTTCATACTATTTCATATCTTGAATATTATAGGAATTAAAATGACTCGATTATATCAATTTCTGTCGTTTAATTTGTTGTTCAAAATTTGTTTTTCCAATCTGAGTTACCATGAATCTAATTACTTAAAAATCAAAACAACAAAAATAAAACGTTTAGATAGGTGACTAGTATCAGGCCGATGAAAAATCTTGGCATGCATAAAACAAAATACACAAACATGTACTGATTTATTCAGCATTTGACTAAATAATAATAATATAGAAAAGTCAACTAATTAAAATATTAGGAGTATTTTAGTGCTATTATATTGACATTGTATTTAACGATCGGCTGGCAGAATGTGATCGTTCTGCTTCGTGAAACAGAACCAACGATAGTAAGCTTGTTTCAATTTAACACACACAAAAAAAAGAAAGCTTGTTCCAAACATAAACAAAAAAAAAACAACGAAACAAAAATGAAAACCATTTAAAAAAATGATGGTCTCGTAATAAAGAATACAGTAAATGGGTAGGTACTAGGTATTGGTACAGAGAGTTTAAGAACATAAATAATTCAATATGGGCTATGAAAGCAATTTCTCTAGTTAATCGGACGGCTGATAGGAGCCATCAAGGTTGACCATTTCCACTACGTGACGACATAGTGGCCTTACCCTTGGGCCCATCTTCACCTTTTCTTAATTCCTTTGCAACTCTTTTCCACTCGCATCGTGTAGCATTTGGTTCTCTTAAAGTTTCCCTTTCATAACGAAAATATTACTCTCTTTGTTTCAATATATTACATATTTAAAAATTTTCCACATATTAATAAAACATATAATTAATATATCATTTTTTATAATTCTCTTTTGTCAATATTTTTAAACCAATAAATCTAATAAGTATTTAATTATTTTTTAAAAAAGTTGTATTAAATCATTTATTAGTTATTAAAATATTAATTAAAAATATAAAAAAGTATATTTTTTGAAACATTTTTTTAAAACATGTAACTTAATGAAATAGGGAATAACATGTTTTTTTATATGACATATTTTGTTCTTCACACTTTAGATCATATATTGACCATGATCGGAATTTAATCTTTGAATGATCAATTTCCTCTAACTTGAGAATGGGAGAAATCATTGTAAACTGGCTTGGCAAAACCAGCGGAGCTCCGGGATGGGAGCCAGCCGTCGCCGTCGATGCCTGTTTGGAGCCATTTCGGTGAGACTTGTCTAAACATCTCTTACGCCTTTACTCTTGTGGTCTTTGGTAGTTCCATTGACATGGGAAGTGCTTGGGAGGGGGAGATTAATTTATTAGTCTTTTTTTCTAGTTTGGTATTATGTTCAAGCTTCCATTGTTTGGTTAGGATTGCACATGATTTCTTTGAGGTTTAGAGGTTTTTTAAACTTTTTTGTATCTCTAGACTTTGAGAATAGCTGAAAAGCAGATTGGGTTGCATTAACATGTAACCAACCCTTCATTCTTTGCAATGATATTTACAATTTAGCAAAAAAAAACTGTCTTGGCAAAAGAAATTAAACTTATTATTATCAAAATTATTTTATAGGCAATCTTAATCACGAACTGCTATGAGATAGTGGCTATACTATTCATACGTGTGTTTTGTAATATTATATACTAAGAAATCAATATTGTGACGAATCAAGTCCTTAATTTAAGGCAATAAGTGCGCAGTCTTTAAATTATTTGAAGAACTAAACATCAACATCTACTACTTTTCTACACAAAATTTCAATCTACCCAAATTCAATAATAATAACAAGGTCGTGAAATGGTAATACTAATACAAATACTAAAATAAGAATCATATAATTTTAACTTTTAAGTGTACTTAAAAATAAAATGTTTAAGCTAATTATATTCATAATTTTATAATACACATTCTTAGAACAATTTTTTAAATGGAGTTATTAAACATGTTACATGCAGAACTTATAGACAAATTTTTGTTCCTGACAATAATTTTGTTTTTGACAACTTTTTATTTTATGTAACTGTTGTTTTTGAAAATTTGACCGACCCCATTGATAGCATGCCCATCTTACGCACGATTACTTAATCAATTTTCCTCATTTATTAACCGTATGGAAACCGTAGCATTAAGAAAATCGAAAATAACTAACATTTATTTTAGCCAAACCTACCTTTCATCTAGCGCTTCCCATACACTATGTCACTATATATATACAGTATTCTTCTCTATCGGCTCCTTCATATCAAAAACTCCTGGTTTCATTCTCTACTAGTACTTGTTTCTTTAAAAGATTGTAATCGTTCGAAAAATAAAGGACATGGTTTTGCCTTCTTCAACACCATCTTTAACCGGAAAGAAGGCGAAACCCTCCCCGGAATGTAACTTTCGGGTGATCAATTTCTCTTCACCCGACCGGTCAAAACTATCGGAGAAAATCGTGAAAGCCTGCGAGGTTTATGGATTTTTCAAGGTGATAAACCATGGAGTTAAACCGGAGATAATTTGGAGATTTCAGCGTGAGGGTGAAGAGTTCTTTAAATCGCGAACGGAGAAGCAACGAGCCGGTCCGGCGAGTCCATTCGGTTACGCATGCAAGAACATTGGGTTTAATGGAGATTTGGGTGAGCTTGAGTATCTTCTTCTCCACGCAAATCCAACGTCTGTCGCTGATAAATCTGAAACTATCTCACATGATGACCCTTTCAAGTTCAGGTATGTATAACAAAGTTCGTTCGTTCTTGGTATTTATTACTGGCTTTGAACTAACTATAATCTATAAGTTATATGAAGTTTTTTTTTTTGAGAAAAGTTATATAAAGATTTTTTTTGGACATATATATACATGTTGTGAGCATATATATATAACGGCAACTGAACCAAGTTTATGTCCAGCCTTACAAAAAGAAACGAAACGTTTGCAGTTATATGACAATGCATGTTTTTATCCAAACGTACATCATAAACTTTAATTTTATATGATGAAACAAATAGACATAACACGCATACGCTAAATTTTAGACAAACAAACCACGAGACACGGCTTTAATTATTATCAGTCTTTGCTCCTTTGTTGTCATTATAGTTCCCATCTATTATAATTTTATATTTAATTTAGTAACCTATTAATGCCGGTTCACCAGATAAATTGTTGTAATCATTAATCTAAGATGACTGGGTTTTGTTGTTGGTTCAAACTAATATATTGGTATGTGGTTGCACTTAGAATGCCAGCCACTTGTTTCCTTATTAAACCAGTTACCTTTTCTTATAATGTCAAAGTGCTTTTGCAACCCTGACTGAAATTGTATAATCCCCCCCCCCCCCCTGATTTGGTGGCATAGTTTTTCAATACCAGTATTTTTTAAGATATAGATATATTGCGAGATATATATATATATATATATATATATATATATATATATATATATATTTATACGATACTTTCAATTTTTATTATAAATACTTCTTCTCTTTCATAAAGAGTGTCATTTTATATTTCTTTTGTATTAAAACTATATTTTGTCATTTTGAATAACTAATAAATTTTTATTAATTATTTTAGTTTCATTAATCCTAGTATCCTACAGTAAATACGGACATTTTTTAGTCGATTATACATTTTTTTAATATCTTTTAACAATGTCAAAATAACACTTGTTAATAAATGGATGTAGTGTTAAATCAGATTTTAATTTACTTTTTAGCCAGTTTTTTTATTATTGACTGAAAGAAATAACTGATGAACAATGCTTTTTTGTTAGATAAATAAAAAACAACAAATGATTTATAAATTCGTGGGAAAATAAATACATTTTTTGGCAAAATGTGAATTACCATTTAAAAGGAAAGAGTTTATAACTTGTTACTATTGTTGGAAATAAGATTATACACACGTCTGTTTACTGATATCTATCATTACATTTAAGAGAAAAAAAATCTATCATGACATTTGCTCTCAGCGTCAGGTATTGTTCAGAGTGTTGACTTAAATTCCACGTGTATTTTTGTAGCTCGGCAACGAACGACTACATACGCGCTGTTAAAGATCTGGCATGTGAGGTAATTGATCTAACGCTCGAGAATTTGTGGGGCCATAGATCAAGCCAAGTGAGCGAGCTAATCAGAGACGTCCGTAGCGACTCGATTCTAAGACTGAACCACTATCCACCTGCGGTAAGAGGCAGTGCTAACCAAATAGGTTTCGGGGAGCATTCTGACCCTCAGATCCTGACTGTGTTAAGATCCAACGACGTAGATGGCCTTGAGATTTGCTCACCTGACGGCTTGTGGATCTCTGTACCATCTGACCCTACATGTTTCTACGTGCTGGTCGGTGACTGCCTTCAGGTAATTTTTAAAAACAAAGTTTCCATTTTTAGCAAGCTCGTAAAACCAATTAATATGGTTAAATCGTATATCTCAATAAAAACAAAATAAGGTCGATTTCTCTCGCGAATGCAATAAACTAAAGTCACGAATTATAAGATCCTATATATATATGCCTCAATTTACTAATCAATATATAAAAAACAATATAGGCATTGACGAATGGGAGGTTAGCTAGCGTGAGGCACAGGGTATTAGCGAACACGGCAGGGAAGCCTCGAATGTCGGCGATGTATTTTGCGGCACCGCCGTTGGAGGCAAAAATATCACCGTTGCCGGAAATGGTATCGCAGGAAAATCCACGAAAGTATAATTCATTCACATGGGGTGACTACAAAAAAGCTACATACTCCCTCCGTTTAGGTGTTCCTCGTTTAGAGTTCTTCAAAACTTCACAAGTAGCAGAAACTTAGAATATTTTTCCCCCTTTTGCAGCAAAATTATATAATTTTTGCGTTGTTACACCATAAATGTATAGTTTTACACCATAAAGCAAAATTAATAAATAAAAATCTGGTCGCTTAATTCACAGTAGTATATAAATAAGTCAGTAGATAGGACTATGCAGTTTTTCCTTTTTCTTTTGTACTTAAACGACGATTGACAGTTATTCTAAGTCTATACAAGAGTGTTGATTCTCAAATTAGTTAAGAACCTTTTCAAACATGAACACTCCTCGCTACCTTTTGAAGTCCAGCTCCAAGACGTATATACGTAGTTATTAGTATATCTTTATTTCCAATCAAGTCCAGATCTTAATTCCTTTTTCAGGCTTGGTCGATTTCGAGCAGTTAACAGTTGTAGGAACTTGAACGAAAACCCCACTTTCTAATAAGTTTGTTGTACCTGTCTATCATTAACATGATAGTTAAACCTAGAGACTGGAGAATCTGCGGCAATGATTATAACCGGAGATGCTAGCTAGGAAGGCTGAGAAATGTGTCGTCATAAGATAGATAGGTTAGATGTGTGAAAACAAAATATATGAAATGTATTCATTGACGTTATGATAAACAGATTCTTAATTTGGAGATAACCCAATGGAAGTACTGTATATATATATTGTATTGATGGGTTTGGAGATCTTTTGATTTGGGCCATTTACAGAAGAACAACGTGGGCTTACAATTAAATTGGACAAGATGCATGCATGTGAACCCAAAAAGTCAAAAGGAGGGACTATCTTTGTTGACTTTTCTGTTGTTTGTGTTTATGGTTTCATTTCATCATGTGACGTCTTTGATATCTCTACCGCGAACGAGACAGAGACAAGAACGCCGTTCGCGTTTACCGGTATGTTTTCTTCTCTTCTGTTCTCCCTCTTCCATCGTTCATTACGGATGTCTTGTGAGAGGTTTCTCGTGTATCTTCTTGTGCAGATTCGTATTTCTGCAGTGTCTTTCGATTGAAATCATATCTCTTCGGCCATGTCGTGGTTCAAGGCATGTAGAGGCACTCGTTTTTCTTCATATTTACACAGCATTCATCTAACATCCAGGTAAAATTAATCCTCTCTCATATGCATACTAACTGTTTGTTGAAATTCCTCAGAGAGAGTTTTTTGTTTTTTGTTTTTGTTTGTTATTGAGTTATATAAAGCTGGTGAGAGATGCTTTCTTATGTAGGATTGTGCCTCTTGTTCCGTGCTCTAGTTATGGAGCTGGTAGTGGCAATCAGCTTAATCTCCTAAGCAAGAGAGCGTTTTGGGGAAGCTCACCTTCGTTTCCCCCCCACTCTGCTACTTGTAAATCCATGTTACCTGTTGGTGCTCATCGCCAGTATTCTACACACTCGATAACAGAAACCAAATCCAAGAAAATGCTCTATTACCTCACTGCTGTTGTCTTTGGCATGGTTGGCCTTACTTACGCTGCTGTGCCTTTGTATAGAACCTTCTGCCAAGCTACTGGTTATGGTGGTACTGTTCAACGCAAAGAGGTATTTGTTTATATATCCTTTCACAATTACTCTTAGTCTCTGTCTTAATCTTTGCTCCACTGGTTTGTTTCTTTACTACTACAGACTGTTGAGGAGAAGATTGCTAGACATTCAGAATCTGGCACCGTCACTGAAAGGTGTTAGAGACCCATTCATAAACCCTCATCTTTTTTTTTTTTTTTTGGTAATATTTGTGTATGGTGAACTTGCCTAGTTTATTATAATCACACGCTGTTACTTTTGTCTCTGTAAACAGGGAGATTGTGGTGCAGTTCAATGCTGATGTTGCAGATGGGATGCAGTGGAAGTTCACTCCAACTCAAAGAGAGGTTTAGGCTTTATTTATATAAGTCAACAAGAGTATTGTGATTTGTTAAACTGGTATATGTTGTGGTATTTTTTTTTTCTTATAGGTGAGAGTAAAGCCAGGAGAAAGCGCACTTGCCTTTTACACTGCTGAAAACAAAAGCTCATCTCCAATAACTGGAGTGTCGACATACAATGTCACTCCCATGAAGGTATTAGATATATATTAGTCTCGGTGAATGAGTATCAAGTATCAACGTCCCTTAATACAATTTTGTGTTGGTGGTTTGCAGGCAGGAGTTTATTTCAACAAGATACAGTGTTTTTGCTTTGAGGAGCAGCGACTTCTTCCTGGAGAACAGATCGACATGCCGGTGACTACTACACTTTTCTTCTTGCCCCTGTTTGATATTTTTCCTTAAGCAAAAACAAGAAGACCGTTTTTTTTTAATATATTTTCTTGGTTTGGCAGGTGTTCTTCTACATTGATCCTGAGTTTGAGACTGATTCAAGAATGGACGGAATCAACAACCTGATATTGTCTTACACGTTCTTCAAAGTGTCCGAGGAAAATACTACAGAGTCGGTGGACAATAAAAGCTCAGTTCCAGTTGAAGAAACCGATTAAAAAAGTAGTATCTATTTTTGTGAAGTGAAACTAACGTGGTGACCGTATGCAATAAGAAGAGTTTTCAAAAATAAATTTCTATTATAGGAAAATGGTTTGTTACAGTATTTATTTATATATGTTTTGTGTTTTAGTTTTTTTTGTTTAAGGAAAACTATTCCTTATGATATGGTTGAAATCACCAAGTGGAACGAATAACGGGCCAAGAGAAAGTAAAGTGGGCTTTTCTAGAATTGATATGTTGGATTTGGTTGTGTCACCAAATCGGACGAGTAAATATGATTCGGGTTCGAAAGAGATTTTAGGATAATTCCGGTTCTGTCTCTCTCTCGACTTAAGACCAATTTCTCGTTTTCGACACAGACTCAGAGTTTGACTTGGGATCTTCTTCTTCTTCTTCTTCTTCTTCTTCTTCTTCTTCTTCTTCTTCTTCTTCTTCTCCGCCTCCAAACCTAAAAAGTATTGGGATAGTTCAAGGAAAATCGTTGCAGAAGGCAGAGTATGATGATCCTCAAGCGGCAGTGTGCTTCTCGCGGTCTCCGTCTCTCTTCTACATCGTTTCTTCACAGCAGCAGCGTCGCAATACAGGAGGAAAAGGAAGACGATGACGCGGAGACTGTTTACCGGATGATGATCAACACGCAAGGAGGAGAGCTAAAGGAGGCGTTGAGCTCAAGTGGAATCCACTTGTCTAAGGACTTAATCGACAGGGTTCTGAAAAGAGCTAGGTTTAGTCACGCTAACCCTCTTCAAGCCCTAGAGTTCTACAGGTACGCCGCTGATTCTCGACGAGGAGGCTTTTATCATTCTTCCTTTTCTCTAGACACGATGCTCTATATCCTCGGTAGGAATCGGAAGTTCGATCAGATCTGGGAGGTTTTGATTGATGCTAAGCGTAAGGATCGGTCTTTGATTACGCCTCGGACGATCCAAGTTGTTTTAGGCAGAGTAGCTAAGCTCTGCTCCGTTAGACAAACCGTTGAGTCTTTCTGGAAGTTTAAGAGATTGGTTCCTCATTTCTTCTTCGACGACGACACCTCCGCTTGTTTCAATGCTCTCTTGAGAACTCTTTGCCAAGAGAAGACTATGACTGATGCTAGGAATGTTTATCACTCTTTGAAGCATCAGTTTCACCCTGACTTGCACACTTTTAACATACTTTTGTCCGGTTGGAGATCATCTGAAGAAGCTGAAGCTTTCTTTCAGGAGATGACGAAAGAAAAGGGGCTGAAACCTGATGTGGTTACCTACAACTCTCTGATTGATGTGTTTTGCAAGGCCAGAGAGATGGATAAAGCTTACAAGCTGATTGATAAGATGCGTGAGGAGGATGTGACTCCTGATGTTATTACTTACACAACCATTATAGGCGGTTTGGGGTTAATAGGACAGCCTGATAAAGCTAGGGAGGTTTTGAAGGAGATGAAGGAGTATGGATGTTATCCTGACGTTCCTGCTTATAACGCTGCTATTAGGAACTATTGCATAGCCAGGAGGCTTGGGGATGCAGATATGTTGGTGGATGAGATGGTGAAGAAAGGTTTCTCTCCCAACCCCACTACTTATAATCTCTTTTTCCGTGTTCTGTCTTTGTCGAATGATTTGGGACGTTCTTGGGAGCTGTATAAGAGAATGTTGGGGAATGGGTGTTTCCCAAATACTCAATCTTGTATGTTCTTGATTAAGATGTTTAAGAGACACGAGAAAGTGGATATGGCGTTGCGGTTGTGGGAAGATATGGTTGTAAAAGGTTTCGGTTCTTATAGTTTGGTTTCGGATGTGCTTTTGGATTTGCTATGTGATTTGGCTAGAGTAGATGAGGCTGAGAAGTGTTTGCTTGAGATGGTTGACAAGGGACATAGACCGAGTAATGTCTCTTTTAAAAGGATCAAGTTGTTGATGGAGCTAGCAAATAAGCACGATGAGCTTAATAACTTGAAACAGAAGATGGCTGTTTTCAGTACAGAGATTCAGCCATGAAAACATCAGGACATTCTTCCAGCGTTTTTCTAAGAGCAAGTCGAGTCCTTCCTCATGTATAATGCCATTGTACTTGGCGAAGTCTTTCTTCTTCAAGTCTATCAGCTTCTCTGCTGCGCATGAATATGAAGAGGAAGACGATGAAGTTGAGGTACCATTTTAGTGTTTAGGAGTTTTGCAGAGGTAGGTGCTGAAGAAGAAGAAGATCAATGAAGCAGAGATGAAAAAGTTGCAGACTTTTGGATTCTACTGAAACAAGCAGCAGATTTGGTGGTTGTAACTGTACCAGACGCTATTGATGGCATCTTTTTGCTCTTTGGAGATTGAGTTTTGGAACTAATCAAATGAGCATAGATTTTATGTAGTTTTGCATTGCCAAAGAGAAAGAGACTCTTCAGGACCGATCACAATCTCTTAGTTTCTACGTTTAAATGTTATTACACTCCACACAAAGTTTGTTGACGTGCTTAGACAAATCAGCTAACATTGAAAAGAAAAGAGAAAGAAGCTCTGTTTGCGTGACTTAGTTTCTTGTAGGTTTGTTTTGTTTTGTTCCTATTCGGGCTCAATCAATCACGGCCAAAACTTATGGTCGGATTTTTAAATTCCTCTTTTTCTTGGTGACTTATTAAACCAGAATTTCTGTGATGAGAGTAGAGAACACTAGGGGGTGGGTACAAGCCGAGTACTCGGTATTTTTGGTATACTTAATACTCGGCTTGACTTATACGAGTAGTAAATATTTTTACTTGTACTTGGTTTGCAAAAAACAAGTACTTGCAGTTTCAAGTACTTGCCAAAAATTGACGGACTTGTAAGTTACTTGACTTGTTTTATTACTTATTACTTGTAAATTACATATAAATTTATTCATAATTATTGGTAAATTATTTGATAATTCATTAGAATTTAAAGTTAAATAAATTTATTATATAAATAATAAATTATTTTTTTTTGTATTTAAGTCATTCAGAAAATGTACCATATAAGAAAGAGAAAACTTGAAGATGATTATATAAATATAACACTTATGTTTGATGTACTTATGAAAATAGGAACATAAATGAATTATTGTATAATGATTTAGAAAAATATATCTTTGTTCATTAACAAACACAAGTAACAAACAAAACAACGTCAAGTAATTAATTTATTTAAGTTTTACTTTATACTTATAAGTAATTTAAATAGATTACTTGATACTTAACTTTTTCATAACAAATACTAATTTTTAAAGATTATGTATCCATCAAGTACAGAATAAAAGGCAACAACGAGTAAGTATGGTCAATAATAAAATATAATACATAAATTTTAATTAACTAATAAAATGGATATTAAATATTTAATAAATTAAGTAATATATAACATATAATGAGACAAACAAATGATAACAAGTAACAAACCAAGTAACAAGCCAAGTAGTTAAAAATAAAAAAGAACTTGATACTTGACTTGTACTTGCGACTAACAAAATCCGTTTACTTGCTACTCGACTTGATTGTAACAAGTACTTGTTTTTTCAAACCGAACTGAATCAAGTAGCGAGTACAAGCCGAGTAGCAAGTATTTGTGCCCAGCCCTAGAGAACACTCTGACCATATACTCCACTGGCATTTTAATTGTCATATATTTGAGCACATATATCAAAAAATATATTTAATTTGTATATTTTCTAAATAAAAATATCATTAATTATACATATAATCACATATTCAATCAATAGAAATATTATTATATAACTTTAAAAAACATATAGCCTATAAATTTAATATTTTTGCATAAAAAGATTTAAATTGACATTTATTTTAAAACAAAAATTTATTCCGATAATCAAATGAAACAGGGTAAGTATATATCTACAAATTTGAAATGTTTTAGATAATTTCAGATATATAACTACAATCAGAAAATGCAAAAGAATGACAAACTCTTTAAAGGAAAAATCATTTATCCAATCAACACTATTCAGTTAATATTCCTTGAAACAAAAAAAAATGGAGAAAGACAAATCAAAAAGAGGAGAGAGTGGATGAAGATCATGATGATCCTCATACTTCAGCTACTGAGAAAGTATCTATTTGGATATCTCGAAACCCAATTTGCCAAATCAATACTTCATGGATCAGTGTTAGCGGCTAAGGTGGAATCTTAAGAATCACATATGTACTAAATCTTCCGGACTATGCACATGCAATAGAAACCTCTTAGTCTTTCATATTGAGTTGGAAGAATTATTTTGGGTGGCTTCATGTATGAGTGACATGAGAATCTTTTTGATCTATTTCAAGACGGATTACTCAGACTTTTCAAGACGGATTACTTAGATTTAGTGGATATGACTATAAACTCAATGGACTGGACAACTTTTGCGTCAAAGATTGACATTTTTCGATGTCTACATGATAACTTTGAAAGCACGAATTTGTTTCATATTCCTAGAGTAAAAATGATCAAGCGGATCAACTAGCAAAGGAGGTTAAGAACAAAGGTTTTATTTTCTCCCTTAGAGATTACATATGATCAGATAAAAATGCTATATGGAAGAAGAAAAAATGGAGGTAAAACAGTTGATCAGAAAGACCAATTAAAGGCCCAACTGTTAAAATGTAAAAGCCCAAGCCAAAGCTATGTATAGATATGGTCCATATATAACAAATGTGATAAACCTTTAAAGTATCTCCTATAACTATCTATTTTTTCATTTATAATTTACATAAAAATAGAGTTACTCTATTATAGTATGAAATATAGAGTAATGTCATTTTTTTACTTTATATTTGAAGTAAAAATTACTCTATAGTAAAGTTATTCTATTTTTATGTAAATTATAGAGAAAAGAATAGGTAACCATTGGAGATGATTTTACAATGATCAAAAACAGAAAAAGATACCTGGACATAAGTTTAATGCAAGCGGAGACGTGGGAATTGCGGCCCCCACGTTTACAGCGAATAGATTCTCAGTTTTGATTTTCAAGAGTGAAGTTAGTATAAGTATTCTCATGTGGTCAGTCATGTGTGATGTGTTTGCATGAATACTGACGCAAGCAGTGACGGTTCAGTTAGTTCGAGTTGCTTTCGTAACTTGGGAGTGGGGGGGGGGGGGTTTACATTTCATGTTTAATAAGAATAAATACTCAATATTAACATCTTTTAAAACCCTCTTTACATATTATTCACTCGTTTCATTACGATATATTTTAGAAAAAGTTTGTTTGAAATGATACATCTTTTACACCTTCAATGTTTTTTATAAAGTATTAATGACCAAATCTAAAATTAGAAGAAACAAATTTAAAAAGTTAATTAGTTTAGAATTATTAAAATAAATATCATAAAATTTATAGATAAAATTTAATATATTGGATTACTATATGTTTAAATTCGAAAATATATATGCATCATTTTGAAATGGAAGAGTAATATAAATTCATATTTACTAATATTACATTTACATCAACTCTTTAAATAAGTATAGTTTTACGCAAATTGAAGTTTTACATTATAGTATACTACTAGATGATAATCCGCGCGCATGCGCGGGGTGAAATTTTTATACTAATATTTATTCATTAAATGGTTTTTAACATTTTGCAATACTACAGTATTTATCGATTAGAAAATGATGAATACAAATGTTGGTATCTTAAATCATCATAGGTCTGGACGTTTGAGACTTCGTCGGTTTTATTTTGATTGACACGTATTTTCAGATTTCGGTACTATTTTCATAAATCTTATTTGAATTTTACTAATTATCGGATTGGATTCAATTTGATGTTCTCAATTCAGTTTGGATTGGATTGTAACCAATATCTGAAATCATCCCAAAAAATATTTCTTAAACATTAAAAGTTGACAAAAATCAAAATATTTAAACAATTAATAAATTTAATTTAAAATTAGTTAAATTATCTAAACAAACTAAAAGATATTAAAAAAAAAAGCAAATAAAACAAACTACAAAAATCTTCCAAATACTATAATTTGTATCTACTAACCTCAAACCTTTTCACTGAAATTTTTAAATTAACATATTTATAGTATGAATATCTACTAATGATACTTCATATTCGTACGATTTATGATAATTTGTATCTTCTTTGGAAAAAAACAAAGTTAAACCATTGATCATAAAATTTTCAATGTGGGATTTTACTATTTTTAGTTATTTATGGTCATTTTTTTAAAAAAAAATTAAAAATATAACCTATAAATTTTTTTAATTTTTTATTATATATTTAAATGTGATTGTTTAGTTTATTTTAATAATTCAAAATTAAACAAAAAAGAGAGGATAGAAAAAATGTATTATTCATAATCATTAATTACATATATATGTTAATCATATTAGGTAATTCCGTAGATTTTATTTAAGGAAATAAAATATATTGTTTTACACCTAGCAGAGTTGGTCCCTTAAAAATATCTATATATTATAGTCCTAAATGCAAGAAGTTAAATGTTACATTATTTCATTCCTAGCAAAGTTGGTACATTAAAAAATTAAAACTGAGAAGCTCTGTGAGCTTGACACGTAAGCATGCTCTCCAAGGTTGTGCATTTATGAATGCTTCTGGATTAATATATAAGAGATTATTACTATATAGGACTCTCAGATTTTCTTAGCTTGCATTTAATCACCTCCTGCAAGTTGGAACATTTTATATAGCCTATGATTTGAATTTCTGACATGCGATTTTTATAGTTATTGGATCAAACGGTTGACATTTTATATTTTCCTGTTCTTTTTTTTTTTCTTTTTCTTGACAGCATTTTTTCCTGTACTTATTAAGAGTAGTCAGCATTCAAATTTACTTTTTCGGCACATAAAAACTTTCTATTGGGTTGGTTTGGTTTCAAAGCTATGAGCATCATTAACTTCTTTTTTTAATAATTATTGGACTATAATATCATGTCATGTGTTCCTTACTACGGAAGACAACATAAACGGACGAATGGTTTTAATCACTCACTAATTGTATAATATCAGTCAATGCTTGAACATAGATACTAATATTATATACATGCATATATTATGAAGATGGAGTTTATCAAAATGCCTTAGCGGGCAAGAAAATGAGTGTATAAACTCCTAAGGTTGATTTATGTTTTACAGCAATCTATAAAGTTGACTTTTAGCTTTGTTGCCAAGGAAGTATCCAACTTCCTCAAAAGTGGAAATTACCTCCATCCTCCGTAATTTTCATCTTAGACCGTTTGATATTTGCACACAATGATAATTTATGACAGCAAGTTAATATCTGACTATAATTTATGTTTAACAGACTTGGGAATAAAAGAAGAAGAATATTCAATCGGTTTCATTTTACTTAATGTTTTAAGTTAATAAACATAGATTAGTAAATATAAAATTTTATACAACTTATTTTGGTTACATAAAAACATCATTAAATAAAACTAATTCAATAAATAAAAAAATACATAATATTTCATGATTAGTCACAAATCTTAAACAAATTAAGCTTTGTCTAAATTAAAAAGAACATCGCTTATTATGAAACAAAATAAAAATCTTAAACTCTAAGTAAATTGATACAGAGGGGATACCAACTATATGACTAAGTGAAATCACAATTAAGATATGTTTGTTTGATGCATATTAGAGGTTTAGTATGATTGAAATGAGTTATAATTTATAAGTTTATATTTTTAATTGTGGAAATTAAGCCGTAGATTTCTTCGCTGTATTTTTTTTTTACCTTTATAAATCACTATTTCATTATTCTGGAAATAAAACTCTTTACAATCATTTTTCTTTAAATATTTTTGGCTGTAGACTT